TTTCAAAATTGTGTTTTATTTTCTTTCAATCGACTAACTGATTAATCGATTAATCAGATTAATGCAGATATCAGGTGACTGCACTGGGGGAAAACATCACAGTATGGTGCGAGTCAGGCCTACCCAAAGAAATGGCTGGGCCCCTTAAAGGTACCATAAATGAGCCCTCCCCAAATCAGCTTTACTCATTTCAACACATGTGTGTGTTCTCTGTTTTCCTTAGTTTAGATCAGTAAATTTCTCAGGTCATGTGGCCAGCCGCCTGCAGGTTTTTGTTTTTTTTTGCAATGGTTGCGCACAAAGAAACAAGGACTCATACCATTCTGCGGAGAGGGGGTTGTCATTATGAAACAGGCTACATTCTACTAAATAAACACAATGGGGGTTTTTGTTGTTGTTGTTTTATTAAGTGATTGTGAATATTTTGGTTCTAAACAAAATGTGGTCACGATAGCTCCCCCTAGTGGCTGGGCCCCAGAAAGCGTTCCCCTTTTATCCCCCTGAATGGGCGGCCCTGGTGCAAGCTATGCCCTCAAGCTGTGAAAATGCTGTCATCACCCAGGGACTTAACATTTAATTTAGCATTTACAGGCAAAACCAGCAGCTGGCTACACTTTCATTGTGGGTCTTCTTAAAAACTGCACTGAACAGCACATTTTGATGTTAAAAATCTTGGTTTCCCCATTTCCTTTTCTAAGGTTGCATTGTTCTGTTGTCTTACAGAATACGCAAGTATGTATTACCTTTAAAATAAAGTCACCTTGCTGACATTTTTTTCTCTTGTCTTTATTTGCATTTTTGGTGTTGAGGTAATCCAAAAGTAATGGAAAGTGATAAAGCTATGCTAATTCAATATTGTAATATTTGGATCAGGTTACTGACTACTGTTTATGTTCACGGACAGTGGCCCCTTTAGCCACTAAGGAGCCCAAAGCTTCTCTCAGGAGATGGTGGAGACCAAAACAGAGCTAAATGAAGAGGGAGTATTGGACTTTTATTTGTCAGATGGACACAAACATGACTCCGAATGAATGCTAAAATTACTTATGATTGATAAGACAGCTGCTAGCTTATGCATTTGCCGTATAAGGTAATATATGTCAATGTTGTAGTTACATTTTGTTCCACGGCCCCCAAGTGGCAAAAAAATCTATTAATGCAGCTTTAAGATTAGGGAACAATCACAGTTTTGAATAAAGAAAGCGTTAATTGTTGGACTGCAAAGACTAGCTAATTCTATTCTTCTGCATGAAGGTTGGATTCACTATGTGCCCATCCAAGGCTGCTGGGCTGAGGCAATTTATTGCAGCGATGCTAAGACTTTTATGAAGCAATTCTATGAATGCAAACTATGACATAAGAAGGACTATTGTTTGATTACTGCATGTTTTAAGCCTTTTTCAATGCCCTGTTGTTGTGTTCAAATTACTTGTTTTTATCAGAAAAGAGGCCTAATTGGCAATATGTCATTATAACCCGCCTTAACAATAGATGCTCATACGTTTCAGGTCTTATTAACTATTGCAGGAAGTGTCCCTAATAAAATGTCACAGACAGACAAGCAGTTCTGTATTTAAACCAATAAGAAGTAATTAGAATATCCTGAGAACTGTTGGTGCTTTTATTTAGCCCCACGCAGAGATCAAATAGAAAACCGTCTTACAGTTTGTATACCAGTTGAGCTGCAATTCAAGTGCAGTTTTTGAAACCTCTTTCATTATCTCAAGTGGTGAGCCACTTGTTCCCTCTGAGAGCTCCAGTACAGTGTGTGACATTTAGTAAATCCTGAAGGCTTCTACCTTTTGTTGTATGCATTTAAACAACACATTAAAGCCACACTGTTCCTTGCAGAACCTGTCACATTTCCCAGGTAAAGCAGATGAATAAATAAAGCACCGCTGTTAGTGGCTGAAACACCCCCCTTCTTTGTGTGATTTGCTGTTGCCTTGAGTCAGATCCTGATCTCTTTGTAGACCCTCTCCCAACAAGCATTGACCTTCTGCTCCGACATGTAAAGAGCTCCACGAGATCAGAAAAGGGAGGGGGAAGCTGTGAATAAAGGCATCACCACTGCGAGCAGCCAAGAGACTTCATCCACTTCACTCCACACTTCTCTCCCTCTCCTCTCCTCTGTCTCTCAGCGTAGCTTTATCTCTGTGTTCAGTCTAGGAGCGGAGATACCTTGTTGGCGGCACAAAGGAGCGGCTCTGTAATAAAAACAGCTGTCTCTGGTGGTCTCGGTGTAATTGGGATTGTTAACGTGGAGAGCTCCTGAGGGAGGCTGAGAAGAGTATGTCTTTGTGTAAAGCACACAGACACCTCTGCAGCACTCCTTGATTCAGATGTAAGTAAGAGAGTGAGGAGGAAAAAAAGCAAACAAGTCACCTGAGTTATATCAAGCCTCGCTGCATGTGCTCTCTCTATTTTACTTGGGCTTTACTTTTATTTTTAGACAGTGCCGATTTATTTAGATGTAGCAAAGTGCCTTGAAGTGAGAAAAATCTTTTCTTGCACAATTCTACCGAGGGTTTGTGTTTTAAAAGGCAAGGTGTGACTGCACCTTCCAGCGTCGAGACAAGTCTTTGTATGATAGCAACATACTCTCCAATTACAGGATCAGTGTGAGGACACAAATTGAGGCCAAAAATATTCTTAAGTGGATGGGCATTTAGCTGACGATACAATAACATTTTCAAAAAGTGGCAACAAATTCAGCCAAATCTCAAGAGTATGGGATGTGTCTCATTTGGAGGCCTGTTTATGTTCATTAAAATATATGTTGTTTAGCAGAATAATTCTGAAATACTGTTATGATCAGTGTATTCCTCATGAGTTGGATTTATTAATTTATTTTTGCTAATAAATAATTAAAGACATTTTGCATACAATGTGCTAACAAAGTCCATATATGTAAAAAATAATATAAAAATTACAAACATAAAACTACATTTTATGTTATCTAAATAATTCCTAGTGCAAAAAAAAAAAGGGTGTGTGATTCTTACTGAAATATCCGGGTTTGCCACCTCACAGTGTTTCTGTTTGCCATGGCAGACCCTTCAAAGGTGATTCTGTTAACCAGTCTGACAAACTGTCCTCCCTCAAACGTGAAAAGCCTGTTGGCACAGGACGTAAAAGCCTTAGGTACGTGAACGCACTCAGGAAAAAGTGTTGAAAATGTACTTCAAAGTCAATTGCAGGGGAGCAGGTCGGGCTGATTTATTTGACTTAAGATATACTTTTTTGTGTGTGTGTTTCATTGTGGATGAAAATTTCATACACCAATTTAGAGGTGGTGAAATATAAATGATTTCTTTAAAGTTTCATCATAAATCAGTCTGTCGGTATATGTGAGCAGACACTGATTGCTCCTTGATGTCTCCTGAGCCTGATCTCTGTCTCCTGATGTCTGGAGGTGGCTCCAGCGGCGCCTGTTGTCCCGCTGGGGAGGCGACATATTTCTGCAGCTGGATGGCTCTCTTGCAATGTGAAACTGCCATGCAGCAACACCAACAGGGTTTCTGTCGCAGCCGTGGGGACGCATTAAATGTCTACGTGGATCAAAACAACAACAGAAAGAAAACGGGAACTGACAGCACTTCGACGTATTCAGGAGAGCGCGTGTGCCGTCACGTTAACACTGTAACACCGGTAGCCTCCATTAGGACGCCTTTATTGAGGCGGTGCACAGGCTGTGGCCACATACCGGGGCGGTGATGTGTAGCCTGTGATGAGGATAACATCACACTTAATATTTTTAATCTCATTTACTGTGAAATCTTTAACATTAGCGATTTAGGGCAACACATTTAAGGTGATTAAGGGGTCAACCCCACTGTCTGTCAAAGACATTGATCACTGCTTCATAACTGCCACATGTCACACCTTCTTCCTCTATGTGTGTGTGTGTGTGTGTGTGTGTGTGTAGACAGAGAGAGAAGAGTGTTTTGAAAAATTAGAGCCACACAGGAAAAAAGGAAAAACAAAAATCCACGAGGCATTGTTTTCCATAACAATGCTTTCCAACCTCAGAGAGAGAGACTTACATCATAACAATTATCTCATCCTATAGACGTGACCATATTAAACAAATTAAGACACCCCCCTCTCGTTAATTACAACGTGATTAAATGTCTTAATTGCGTTACCGATGATGTGGCTTAATTAGAAGAGACATAAGATAATAGCCTGCTATGACAAGTATATAGATTCGCAATTAAATAGTGCTAATTATTTTTTAAAATATCCACTTTTGTCGTCGCTCACTGAGGAACTAGTGTCCGTTTTGTCCATGCAGAAAACAGTACAAAATAGTGCAAAATAGGTAAGAATTCCCCCACAAAATTAAGTAATTTATTTCTGGTATTTTCCTCAAGTTAGTCTAAGATTAATACAATTGTCATAGCAACAAATGAGGAAAAAGGCAAGCGAAATTTTATAAATAATCTGAGCCAGCCCAGTTAAATTAATTTAAAGGCAGGTGTCATAATAAAATCATTGTAATATATATTTGAATTTACAATTTATGTATTGTAATCTAAATGGAGGACAGGAGCTGTCCATGGTATTCTCATCAGAGACGCAATTTTCTATTTTGCATTCAATCTATTTACAATAATCAACTGTAAAAAATAATTTCAGGTGCAATAATCAGAATACAAAAAAAGTCCCTGAACTTCATAAGACGTGGTGGCGGTAACGAGGTGTTGGTGGTAAGAAGTAGTCATTTGAAATAAATGCCTTGTCGCAGACTGCCCATGCGCAGAGTCCCCAGCGGCGGTGGCGGTGGTGGAGGTGGTGGTGGTGTGGCTAATGAAGAATAATAAATCATGAAAGGGTTTTTCAGGTACAGCTGAAAAGAGTGTGTGTATGTGAGAGGGTGAGAGACAGAGAGCTGTGCATGTGCAGGGAGAGGGAGAGAGAGGGTGTGTGTGTGTGTGTGTGTGTGTGAGTGAGAGAGTAAGAGAGGGAGAGAGATAGAGGCGGAGAGAGACTCAGTCTGCCCTTCGCCTCAGAGCAGAGGCAGTTCGGGTCCCCGCAGCATTCAACGTAGTCGAAGAGGTACAGCACAGAGACTGTCACCGCCATTACTTCTCACTTACGGTCATTTCAAGACGGAAACTTTTGACACAAAACCCAAACAGGTCAACGAAAGCGGCAACAGTTTCAAACTTGAAGTATTTTGGAAATCCTAAGAGACGGAGAGAAACTTTTTTTGAATTTTGTTTTTGGCGTCGTCAATGAGGAGTTCTGGCACAAAAAAAATCCACGGCAAAAAAATATATATTTATATAAGAGGGTTGCAGGAGAAAAAAACAGGTTATTTTTTTGTTTTTGAACAATCGCGCCACAAGTCCACAACGGAAAAGGTATCGGCTGCGCTCAGTTGCATGGCTGGTTGGTGCCTGCGATATCTCATTCGCCAAAAAGACGAGACACCTCCATACCTCCGCTAGTAATAATAAATAGATGTGATAACTTCAGTGTTGGACGACCGTCTTCAGCCTACACTTTATTCGACAGTGACTTGAGATTCCTGCGAAGCAATTGGGCTTCAACTCCCGACTGAGGAGGCGGAGTCTTAACTTATTAAAAGGAACTTGCCGAGGCTCGGACGCCTGCAAATATGATGATGATGTCTCTGAACAGCAAGCAGCCTTTTGCCATGGCTCACACCAGCTTGCCCGAACCCAAGTACTCGTTGCATTCCTCATCCTCCACTTCCAATGCGCCCTCGTCCTCCTGCTCGTCCTCCCGACACAGCAGCACCATCATCAGCAGCAGCGGCAGCAGCAGCTCGGAGGCGATGCGCAGAGCCTGTCTCCCAACCCCACCGGTACGTATTCTGCATAATCACTGCTTAAAGGCACATTTTGACAGCCCACTTTTTTGCTTGATGTTTTTTTCATGTCTGCACAGCAAATCACCCAACACCTCCATATTTTTTTCCTCTGCTCAACTTATGTATTCAGTCGGCTTTGCCTTGCGTATTAATTTTTATGACCTGGGATGTTGCATGTGTCTTGTTTTGTGTGCTCCTTTTTTAGGATTTCTTTTTTTCACATTCTGGAAATGTTTTAAACCGAGGAGTGGAGGGAGAATTCCCTGCTGACAGTTATGTGTGCATTCTATTTGCAATTGCAGAGCAATATATTCGGAGGCTTGGATGAGAGTTTGTTGGCCCGGGCTGAAGCTCTAGCGGCGGTGGATATAGTCTCGCAGACCAAGAGCCACCACCACCCTCCACATCACAGTCCCTTCAAGCCGGACGCAACCTACCACACCATGAACACTCTCCCCTGCACCTCGTCTTCCTCCTCCTCCTCCTCGGTGCCTATTTCTCATCCGTCCGCCTTGGCTGGCCACCACCATCACCACCACCATCACCACCACCACCAGCCTCACCAGGCACTGGAGGGGGACCTGCTGGACCACATCACCCCGGGACTGGCACTAGGAGCCATGGCAGGGCCGGATGGCTCGGTGGTTTCCACGCCTGCGCACCCTGCCCACATGGCGGGCATGAACCACATGCACCAGGCAGCCATCAACATGGCACATGCCCACGGGCTACCACCGCACATGGGCATGAGCGACGTGGACGCCGATCCAAGGGACTTGGAAGCCTTCGCAGAGAGGTTTAAGCAGAGACGGATCAAACTCGGGGTTACCCAGGCGGATGTAGGGTCAGCGTTAGCCAGCCTGAAGATTCCTGGGGTGGGCTCCCTCAGCCAAAGCACCATCTGCCGATTCGAGTCCCTCACGCTCTCTCACAACAACATGATTGCTTTGAAGCCCATCCTGCAAGCGTGGCTAGAAGAAGCCGAGAAATCACACAGGGAGAAACTTAATAAACCCGAGTTGTTCAACGGCGCGGAGAAAAAGAGGAAGCGCACGTCGATAGCCGCGCCAGAGAAGAGATCACTGGAGGCCTATTTTGCCATTCAGCCGCGTCCCTCCTCGGAGAAAATCGCTGCAATCGCAGAAAAGCTGGACCTCAAAAAGAACGTGGTGCGGGTCTGGTTTTGCAACCAGCGACAGAAACAGAAACGAATGAAATACTCTGCATGCGTCTAAAAAAATATCGCTTTAAACCACCACCCACCAAAAGACTTGGAACTGTTTAGAGACGATTTGTATCATATTTCCTATCTCACACCTTTTTTTCAATCATCGATGACTTTGTGCTTTGAACTTCGAAAAATTCCTAAAATTGAACAATGACTGAAAAACTCGAGAAAAAAACACAACCCACAGTCACGTCTTTTACTCGCAAAGGAGAGACGTGGAGTCAAGTAAAGCATCGTTTGACAGAGCAAGTAAGAACCACTGTTTCCACACTTACTATGCTTCACCTTTTTAATGTCAACGCAGTATGACTTACAGGACTCTATATGCTTTCATTTTTATTTGTGATTAATTTCCAATGAGGACTATTAGTTTGCATTAGCAGAAATACCCCCCAATGAAAATAGCATTATTTACACACAGCGGGGCTAGTTTAACTCAAAGCACTTGGTTGGTGACTATTGGTGTTTATATTTTTGGCTTATAGGATAAGCTACATTTTCCCTCTTGAGTTCATGACGATGCAGTCTGACATTTATTCAGGGTCCATGAGGGGATTAAGAGGATAACACACTACTTGGTCTCGAAAGCTAATATTAGATTACTGCCAAATATCCCTCTGTAAATTAATAATTTACTTGTCACACACTTCATTTTGTGTCTAAATGTGTAATTAATTCCACTTATTTTGTTACCATGTGTGATCGAAGTCAGGGATCTATTTTCAAGATACCCGGGGTTTGGACTAAGGTAGGGTTGTTTATTATAAGGCCTCAGTTTATGTGGAAATATCGAAATAGTGACTCACTTGTAAGGATTTCACAGAATCTCGCAATTAAAAAAATATGATTTCTCGCCGGCTGCAATAAGTTTACAATCCAGCGTGGGCCGGTATCTTATGAACTATTTATTGAGTGAGGTCATGTTTACTTCATTATATATTTATTGGGATTCCCCCCCTCCTCGTTTTGCTTGAGAAAATCAAATTCTGACAGCAAGTTAAGCGTGTTGTTCTGGTTTTAAAGGGAAAACGACTGTGAAATAGACAGTCACAAATTTCAGTTTACGATTTTTAACATTTGAGATGGTACAATCGAGATATATATGAGATAGTATTCTCTTTTTAAAATTATTTTATGTATGTTTTCTGCTATTTATTTGTATAAATATACGCGCATCATTATGAAGTCGTTGCTTGTTAAAAATCACCTTGTTTAATTAATGTTTTTTCTTGAAGAGAAAAGAAAACAGCTTCATGGAAGTATACATGTACAATGTAAATATTTCATTGGAACCAGTCGATGCACATAAATATATCCCGTACAGGTTTTTGCTGTATTGCTGTTTTAGCTGAGGTAACTTATTTCTGTAATGTATGTTGCTTTTTTGGTTCCTGGTTAAATTATTCTATTAATTTATTACATCCATGTAATTTTAATTTATTTAATTATTGAACTGCAATATGTGTTTCATTAAAGAACAAACTTTAACATTTAATTGGACGTTTTCCATGACTGCACTGTGTAATGTGGCTCATCCAGACATATTAATATTCTTTTATTTATTCAGCTATTTATTTATTGATGAGGAGGCTGGAAACGCTTTAGCTGTGGGCTGCTCAGCTATTAAAAGACATGCTGTGGATTATTTAGGCTTATTTGACTACAAATATTGCCATTTGGGTTTTTGTTAAAGGTAACGTGAGTTTGCCGTTACCAAAAGGTGTCAGGTTGGGTGTTGCAGATAGCCATGAGCCCTGTCACAGTGCCCATGAGCAAGACACCACCCCCCACAACCCAATCTGTTCTCCCACTGTAATATAACAGATGAATAACTCAAATGAAAACGTAAAATGTAATTAGAAGCAGCTATTTTGTCTGCACACCGTCCTCCTCCAGGCCTCATCACAAAGCAGGCCTTACAGGAGCCACTCTTCCTCTATTCCATCAATGTTAAAGACACACGTGGCTCCTCCACTGACTTGCTGCCAGCTTATGCAGCTCACTGTTGCCTTACCTGAGAGCAAATGCTAATATTCTATTAGAGTCTAATCAGGGGGTCTATGGAGAGCTGGATGGGTCCCTGGAGCGCAGACTTGCCAGATGTCAGCCCGCCAGAAAAACAGCTCGCCTGCCAACGTGCCCGTCTCTATTTAAATACACACTCAAACATGCGTCGTTCGTGCATGCGGGCACGCAGGCTTTGAAGCAAAAACCTTTGGTTGGAAGTTATGGTTAGATATGAGGAGGAGGAGGGTGTAAAAAAAAAAGAAGAAGAAGAAGAGGGGAGCATTTTGAATGTCATGTCCATAGCAGAGTTGCTGTTTGGGGGGCTCCAGGGCTGGCTGGCTTGTTGAGCGCTGAGCAAGCGTTTCAGCACCATGGACAGATACCTGAGAGGCTGCACGAGCCCAGCATTTGCATTTCTGAAACCTGTCCTCTGCATTTACACTGATTATTTACAGCACCTGGAATACATTTGCATGGGATTATGTGGGGATAATTTTCAAATTGATCACTGCAGGTAATTGTAGCTGGAGGAGGAATTAGTGCGATACAGAAAATAATTTATTCTAAAATAACCAATAGTTTTCTTCATATTATTTTTCAAACCATATTTTTTTTCCCAGGCTTTTCTAACAGTGTCACAGCGAGACAATGTCCACCAATTGTTCTGACTTGTTTTTATTTTATTAATTACACAGGACACCCTTCCTCAATATTTATCCAATAATAACCGTCTTAAGAAAATGGCTCTAAACTGCAAAGACAACGCCTCCATAGCACTGGATCCATAAACCAAACATGTTCACCCGCCATCCTCGTGACAAATTAAGAGTATCAAAACGAGCCTTATTAATGAGACAGCGATGATGGTTCATCAATTAAAAGATGCTCCTGGTGAGTGCTTCTAATTTCCCCTAAATGAGCCATTCACTTAATACGTTAATAAGAGCGAATTATTAAATTACACATCGAATTATGAAAACCAGATAATTATGAAGAGCGAGTTAAGTAGTCATTAGCTATCCCTGTTAATTACCGCTGGTCAGGGAGGGCTGCCGAGTGAGTGTCTCATCGGGAATTGAAATTAACTTTATGCAGTGAGCCTCGCTGCTGCTGCTGCTGCTGCTGCTGCTGCTTGACAAGCCGGAGCTCTGCACACACACACACACACACACACACACACACACACACACACACACACACACACACATATAGACAGACAGACAGGCGTGCAGGCAGCTCCTCAACCAGACTGCTGCTCCCTGCTTTCACTTTCACATATTGGGAGAAAATCGATCTGGATTCTTTGATAGCGAATCAATGTGGCCCCTGCACTGCAAAAAAATAACACACACACACACTCATGGAGCAGAAAGGCCTCAGCAGCACAATGAGGAAAATCGAAGGTCTTTTTTTATATGATAAATATGTGAAGCAAACAGTTTACCTTAAAGCCACAGTGCTCACATCGTGCTGCATGTGCTCCATACATTGCAACCCGTACATACAGCACGACACTGTGGGAGCCTTGCTACAAAACGAAAAGGGCAGCGCTGTTTCCTTTTGTTATAATTACGCCCTCTGTTTTATTTTTCTCTTTCCCCTGAACATTTCCCCCCTTTCACAGGGATACTGATGAAAATTTAATGAGGCCAGGGACTGTCGGAGCTCCGCCTGGGGACCTGAAAGTAGAATATTTTAACTGTACATTTACGCCAAGTGTCTGCCTTCAAAGACGCGACTGCTCTCGAATTAGACGAAGTGTGCGCCACGAATTGAACGCGCCGCGCACCGTATAACCCCCTTTTTATTTATCATCTGTTGGGCTCTCACGCGCCGCCAAAATATTGTGCAACAACCCGTCAGATGGCTGCATGAATGTTAAGCTGCGATCGGCCATTTGATACTGTCGCCAATCAGTTGTTGTTGATGCAATATTAATCAGCCATCAGTGGTCATTAGTTTGTTAAGTGTTTTCAAGGAACTAATCGATGGGGCAGCGTTGGATGCCTAGAAGGATTTTGGTGGGATACTTTTTGATCTAGGATGGCATGTAAAAGGAGGCAAAGCCACACTGTGTCTGCCAATGAAACAGCTCCATCTCTCTCTGTCTCTCCCCCTCGTGCTCTCTCTAATATAATCGCACGCGCACGCACGCACCAGCCACGCGCGCACTCATAAACAGATGACTTGATGCCAGGGGTAGGCATACTTTTTGTTCAAATACAGCTCATTTTTAACATCGAAAAACACTTTAAAGTCCTTTCTTTTTATGCTGATTGGAGACTGACTTGTTAATTTAACCACATGACCAGTTAGTGTGTTAAATCCACACCTGTCCAACCTGGAAAAATAAAAGCTTGGTCATTCTGTAACTCTGGAAATATATATTTTTTTTTTTTGCAGTGAAAGAGTAAAAAGACAAACGCACAGAATAGTTTGAGGGACAGGCCGGCGCTTTGAAATGTAATGGAAGAAATGTAGATGTGCTGCAAACACTAGATACTGTCCAAAAACGCACAGACGAGAATTCCTTCTTTATTAAAAATTTATGACACCGATGTATTCAAACACAGTGCTTTAGATTTAGAGTTTTGTAATTTAACATCGCATATTTCCAATGCAAAAATAAAAGAAAATTCGTATGCTGTTTGCGCGCAGCCTGCGTCAAATCAAACCTTTAAGATACGGATGTTTTATTACGCACCTTTTTTTATTTCGATATGAATAAAAAAAATGTGATTTGCTCTGAAAACCAAACAAACAAAAAGTCCCTGTTAATTTAATGCCAGTGGAAACGTTCACAGCCTTCATAACTAAAATAGCTCAGGGGCGTGATTAGAGGGTGGTGCTGAGAGGCCACAGTCACCCCTGACATGTGGCTGCCACCAAAATAATGATTTGGATGCATAACCAAGTTTCTACCTTTCTCCCCTGAGCTTTTTTATTTCTTTAGTACATTTGTTATTAATAGAATAATAAATGTTTTGTTTAATTTCTATAAAATCCAGCAATGCAATTCTTAGTTTTTGTAGATTTATTGTCTATAGCTACGGTTGATGCCATTTTGTGAATTTGTGGATTTCTATTTCTCAACATGAAACTAAATGAATATTCAAACGCTTTTGCTTGAGGGGGAATACTGTCTACACCCCGGCTAGACTGTTGCAACACAGCTACCTCCAACATGGCGAGCGTGTTTTAGACACTATCAAGGACAGATTATGTGTTCAGTGAATTAAGCAATATGGATGCCACTGGGGTTTACCAATATAGATAATGGTAAATAATTCAACAGTAAGTCCAGTCTGGGGAATGGGACTGGGACCCATTGTGCTGCCAATTACAGCTTATTTTAATGAAGATTATTATGAAGTTATGATTATTGTGAAAAACAAGAACTGACCTTTTTCTTTGTCTGTCACCAATATTATTAATCATTCGCAGTACTTTTTCTTACAGCTAGGGGAGTGTGAAGAACACCAGTTAATAAAACACTATTTGCACTGTTACACTAGTGTCTATGTAGGCAAGAGGACAAAAAATGTTCCTCAAGGAGATGAATTCCGATATAATTTTATTAGCATTTTATGAAATTGTTATTTGGTGCTTGTGCTCAGGTGCTGTTTAGACTTACAAGCATAAAATGTCTACCCGTGAAAATGAAAATGAAGGCACATGGCATCGCCAGACTTTAAAAAAGATGGAACAAGATGGTCAGTTGAGTTTGTAAAAGTTAAAACTTAAACTGGTCTTTCTACACTTACTGTAGTTTAATGGACGAGACTGTTTTCAACCAGAACCAGCAGTTTATTATCCAGAAAAGGAAAGATGATCAACTTCAACAAGAATTTACTAAGTGAGAATCAAATGCTCGTCAAAATAAAATAACTTAGAAGACATAATCATGTGATATCCATTCCTTTTTACCTAAAACATTCCTTATTAATTTGCTTTTTTTCTTCTTGTATTGATTAATAAACATTTATTTACTAAACACACTAAAAAAGTCTAGACTAAAAAGTCTTTGTATCATCTGATCTGAATGATAACATTTTAAACAGGTTTTAGTTATTTTCACCTTCCGTAAATGCCAAAAACAGCGCGCTCAATAACTTTATATCAGCAAACCACGCTGTGCTGTAAATTAAAAAACTTGCAGTGTCACAGAAACACGTCCAGCCGAAGCTTGGTTACCTCAAGACTGATCAGCGAAGACAAGATAAAGCAGGGTAATCTTATATATGATAAATATTGGAGTCATGTGCTTTAATAAATCACGTTTTTACAAATGACACAATGACACTGTACAAAATTCAAACTGTCTATTTGTCTATGTTAATCATTATATTAAAAACATTTTATATTATACAGAAAAACAAAAAAAATATCCCAAAGTATCCTGTTTAGAGCACTGAAACATATTCAGTCACTCAGACAGGATATTCAATCGTTAACTAGGTGGA